TCCTTGTTTCCGAGGCTGGCAGTGTCAACCGAATGGCTTGCTTCGTTCTTGCTGGACTCTGGATCCGAAGTGGGTGCCGACATATTGCACGTATTGTCCGCGTGGTGATAGTAGAAGAATGCTGAAGCTGTCTGCCATTTTGAGATATCTTCGAGGAGAGCAGTTTATATGTCCATAGCCCCTTAAACCTCCAAACCCCATTGCGGCGGATGAATATCGTGAATGATGCGATGCAATCCGTTCCGCCGATATCACGGCGGAGTATGTAACTCTCAAACAAGACCGATGGGGGCTTGGCGCTCTTTTGGTCCGAATATTACCTGGGCTTTCGTAAGGTACGGTCACAAAAAGATCACAAACGACTGCTCCGCCGCGTTTCCGGACCTCCAGGACTCTAGACAACCTTTAAGCCCCGATAATGCCCATCATGCTCAGGTGTTCGAATCACATAAATTGTTTGGGCCCATTTCCCATTTCCCATATCTGAATCATCTGCCCGCGACAAAACAACTTGCCAGGCTATACGAGGTACTCGTGTCCATCAACGTGTACCTTGAACTAAGCTGCCAGACAGACCAGACCCATCATGGATGCTGCCTCTGCCCAGCGTATGGCACAGGCTCGCAGGAGTTCCGCCCCCGACCTAGATGATTGGGATTCGGCGCCCTCGTCGAAACGTAAGAAACTTCGAAGGGGAACTCGCAGCTGCTGGGAATGTAAGCGACGGAAGATGAAATGCGTATTTGACGGTCCTGATGATGCAGTCTGCGTTGGCTGTCATCGACGTTGGACCAAATGTGTGAGCCAGGAGTTCCCGGAGAAAGTGTCCACCCCTTTGGACAGCAGCCGCCAGCTACGGGATCGCTTGCGACGAGTGGAGTCTCAACTTGACCAATTTCTCCGTGTCGCAGGCGGCAACGATGGCCAAGCAACGCCTGAAGACGGCCCGGACCGGCTGCCGAACCACGGCATCCCCACCCCGGCCTCCATGTACAAACGTCCCTCAAATAACGCGTCCACTGCATCTCATCAGCCTATTAACACCCCTGCTGAGCACGAACATCTTCATGACCATCTCATTCTCGACCGACCTTCATCCTCTGCTCTGCTAGGCGGTGATCCAGACACGTCCGGGGCTGATCCATTGTCCCGGACTCTCTACGATTCCTTGCCCTCGCAGCAAGATACCGCCAGAATCTACAAGGCCAGCGGTGGCCACAATTCTATCCCATTCCATGAAATCCTAACCACCCCGTACGGTATTCTCGATCGGGATGGCCGTCGGTCACAAAATCACCCGCTCGAGATCCCGGGCCCGAACGTACACCCAGTTCTGATAGCGCGTCACATGCTGCATCTAGCGAGCTTCCTCCAGCACCTGCACCCCGATCTTAATGAAGAGCTTCGGGGTCTCTCAGAGCCACCACAGATCATACGCGAACGATTAGCGGATAAAGCGATCAGTCTGGTGACCACCAGTGACAGGTTCGTGGGCAGCATTGAATTTCTGGAATGTGTTATGATCGAGAGCCTGTATCAAGCCAATTGCGGATATCTACGGCGAAGCTGGATGACTGCGCGGCGAGCCATGACTATTGCGCAGTCGATGGGCTTTCATGGGTCGGGGGCTCGAGTCCAGTATAAGGTCCTCCATCCGGAGACCAAAGCGTACCCTCACTTCATGTGGTTCCGCATAGTTTTCTACGATCGACAGATGTGTCTTATGATGGGTATGCCGCAAGGTACCACCGATCGGAGTATGGCGTCCGATGCGATGCTCGCTAAGGATTCGGCCAGTGGTCGTCTTGAGCGAATCCATTGTGTCGTCGCATCGCAAATTTTGGAGCGCAACGAATATGACTCGGCCAGCTATGATTACGCCTGGACGCAAAATCTCGATAAGGAGCTGCAGCGATCGGCCCGGAGCTTGCCAAACCGATGGTGGCTGGTTCCGAACCTCAGCGGCGAGACGATGGGTTCGCCGGCTTTGTTCTGGGAAATGCGGCGACTGTCAGAACAATTATTTCATTACAACCTTCTCAACCAGCTCCACCTTCCCTACATGTTTCGTGACTCGAGTGAGCGTAAATTCGATTACTCCCGAATCACTTGTGTCAACGCCTCGCGAGAGATCTTATCCCGCTTCATCATACTGCGCCGCTGGAACAAAGTAGCTTTTAGTTGCCGCACCATCGACTTCACCGCCCTGATGGCCGCCATGACCTTGCTACTGGCTCATCTGGATAGTCACCGCTCCTCGCAGGTCGATAATTTTCTCGCCGCCCAATATCCAGGCGACCGTGCCATGATCGAGCAGGCACAAGAAAACATGGAGGAGCTCAACCGTCTGAACTCAGACACCCTGAGTGCACGAAGTGCTCAGTTGCTGAACCGGTTGCTCGCCATCGAGGCCAAGGCAGCTGAAGGTGACCTCCAAAGTGCCCAAAGCGTAAGCGTACAAGGGCCCGAGACCGAAGAATCACAATCTGACGACTCGACCAACCCTGGCAAACACGTCTATATCCCGTATTTTGGGGTCATTAAAGCTGCGGGCGAGAGCCATACTGACGGGATGAGTTCCCAAGCACAATATGTGTCACCAGGAAACTACCGACAGAGCCAACCTCCGGTCACCATACGAGCAGGGCCGGAGGCAGAGACGCAAACACAGCCGACTTCTCTTGAAACATCATTACCTCCAGATTCTTATAATAACCATTACCGTAATAAATTCAACGGCAACAGCACCAACAATAACGTAACTGCTTTCTTTGCGCCGCTACTCTCGGAAGTTCTCTTGGATGATTCCATGCAGCAGTTTGAATACCCTGGGACGGCAGCTAGAGTTAAGGATGATGCATTCCAGGATCTAGACTTGGCTTTTTTGGACAACTTAATGAGAGGCACCGGAGAAGATGGACAAGGCGGCACAGAATGGACCGCGGCATGAGAAAACGCAATATTCGTGCCGTCTGCAGACAGATATTCCTGATAACAAGTTTTGTCCTATCTACAAAGAGAATCCCCATGGAAATATATAGATAGATGTATTGGGAGCTACTTACATACCTGTTTATATAATATGCTCCTTAACACCAGTATCTTTTCATGTAACGTATGGTCTACGGTATTATTCCGAGTCATGCGATTTGGCTGCATCCACGCATCAAAACAGTTAACGGATTTCACCACCGAGCCGGCCACCCCAAAACACATAGTAAATGCGATAAATTACAACGTGATATCTCAACAACGGTGCGCTATATAAAGTTTTACTTATAGCGTAATGCTTTTTAGATGATATATAGCCTCTTTGTGGAATTTTAGGAGCATATACGACTTAGTGATTGAGATATATATGTTTCTAGCTTTTTGCAATGTAATTCTCGATATTTTTTGAAATGACGATAATGTAGCATTTTGTTCTCTTTAAAAATGATACACAGTATTAATAAGTCTAATTAATAGCCATCGACAAGTAAGGAGATAGAATGAAAACACAGTTGTTGAAATCCAAGCTTGAAAAAGATCGCATTTACTATGTGTTTTAGGGTGGCCGGCTCGGTGGTGAAATCCGTTTAACTGTTTTGATGCGTGGATGCAGCCAAATCGCATATGACTCGGAATAATACCGTAGACCACTTAATACGGTAATTTACCAAGCTTCCCCTCTCTGATGTTCTAACATCCAACATCCAACCTCCAACCTCCCAACTTCTTCATGTCAATAGTCAATACCAATTATCCTAACAGTCTGCCCGAGATTTTGAGAATGCCGGTCTGCCAGCATTGACATGTTATATACTCCATACTGGTTAACGCCCCCACGATTGTTTCCAGGACTAGACCAGAGCCAAGACCAAAGAAAGGCTTTCAATGCTCCTTTGGCACCAGCTCATCTCCCACATGCGACAAATCGAAAGCCATGAGCGCCATGTACCTATGTGACTGACCTATATCGCTTCTCAGGCGACTGTCTAACAATGCGGCATTTCCTCTTTTTGCAACTGGTGCCGATAGCGAGAAAGCTATGGCAAATTCCCATAAAGCGCCATTGAGTACGCCATGAATCGAGCGACTACTTGGATATTCCGAATCCTTACAAGCCTTCCGGGATTACTGCCAGGCTTGAAAGTGTTGCGATAAGTAAACCGGAAATGACACCAGGAACGGTATCTGCCCGATTAGCCAGGCACCGAGAAAAACAGTCACCTGAGCGATAAGCATCCAATTTTTTTCGCCACTTTTTTTTGGGGAACATATTCCCCCACCATTAGAGACTTAGATTAAGCACTTTCTTTTACAGTGTTCCTGGTGCTCTATGCTTACTTTGGAGGTTCCTTTTTAGCATTGAATTTCCCCAGATTTCATCATTTTTGGAATCTGTGGGTAACATTCCAGGGACCAAATCCGACTAACTTGACCGCTGGGACGTTTCCGTTCGCTTGTCAACCCGTCCACTGGTTTTTAAGGGGTCCAATTAATCCCCCCCCACCTTAGGGTCTCCCCTTTTTGTCTTAAACAATCATTTCGACTGGGCACTTCTTCGGTCAGAAATAGCTTTCGCAACTGGTCGCGTGCTCAAAGAGATAAGACCTTGAGCCTCCGTATCTTGGCTTACACGTGAAGATACCCTTCAAACCCCCAAGGTAGGCTCTATCTCCTTTCCAGCAGGTTCCCGTGTGCGACTCTCGTGTAGATAAGGAATCCACTGTATCGTGTGTTCTTCCATATAAGTACACGTTGTCCCCTTTGTAATTCCCGTCCTGGAGGCGACTCGACTCTCGCCCCAGCACCTCATTCGAATCATTCGTCTTTCTCAATCCCAACCATACTAATTCCCCACAGACTCATCTACTACGGCAACAGGCTTGGATATCAGCTTCTTTGACCAAGGCCTTGCACACAAGTGGAACTGCTGTCGGCTCCCCGACGAAACACACCTGAGACATTATCGAGATCACGTGTCACCAAAGCCCATTGCGCAACCATCATTCACCATGCCTTCTCTAGAGGATCACTCGGGTCTCAAGCATCGCGAGGACCAAGAGCAATCCACCAGACCAGAAGAAGATACACAGCAGGCTCTATTCCACCAAGTATACGAATGGCTTCACCATGAGAAAACCAGACGACAGAATCGTAAAGCACGGAAAGCCGAAGCAACTCCCCATGCAACAAACGAAGGCCAATCAGCCGAAGAAGATGGTGTTTTAGGAAGACGCAGCTCGGACACCTCGAACACCTCGGAAAGCACTTTTTCCCTGGATAAACTGGAAAAAATCCTCCTCCAATATGCGACTACCCGACCTAGAAGTTCAATGGGTTTGCCCCACAAACAACCTGTCAAACGGCAATCTAAGCATCGCCTTACCGGCCTACGACGAGGCTCGGCATCCGAGTCTGAACTCACAGATGCCGACGGGGCCCCTCCAGGCGTGGAAGCATTCCTTGACAATACAAAGACGCTTGCCTACACCGGTGGCGCTGCAGTAGAAGAAATCGCCGACTCCAGTGCGAGTGTGAAACAAGCAAAGGATGCCGAGGCCTGGGTTGTTTTCAAGTCCGAGATCGTGCGTATTGTACATACCCTGCAGCTGAAGGGCTGGCGCAGAGTTCCCGCAGATCTGGCGCCAGATATTGAAGTGGTCAGGCTCAGCGGTGCTCTCACGAACGCTGTGTACGTAGTTGGACCGCCGAAGAACTTGCCTCCCCGAAGACCGATAGCAACAGTCTGGTTTCAAGGAAGCCCCCACCGTAAGCAACAAATTACCTCCCTCACTTTTAAGACACGTCTAATGGGAATTACAGGAAGCTTCTCTTGCGTATCTATGGTCCTCAAGTCGATCATCTAATCGACCGAGAGAACGAGCTGCAAATTCTTCGTCGCCTCGGAAAGAAGAACATTGGCCCACGCATTCTTGGAACTTTCCTCAATGGCCGGTTCGAAGAATACTTTGAGGCTCGCCCACTCACCCCCAAGGAGCTGCGGATGCCTGAAACGGCGAGACAGGTTGCCAAGCGGATGAGAGAATTGCATGATGGCGTTGAACTTCTTGAAGAAGAACGCGAAGGTGGACCTATGATCTTCAAGAACTGGGATAAATGGGTGGACCGTTGCGAACAAGTGACGACCTGGCTGGATAAAGAAATCCAATCTCCTCAAAACGAGGCTAAAGCTGCACTGGAACCATGGCGTCGCCGCGGCTATGTCTGCGGCGTAACATGGGACGTGTTCCGCAAAGCCGTGGATAACTACCGGCGTTGGTTGGTTGCCAGCTCTGGTGGAACTGCCGAGATCAAGCGACAGCTAGTATTTGCACACAATGATGTAAGTGTTTTTATCCCTCGTGCCTTCCTTATTGTGTTATTGACATGTTGTGTAGACTCAATATGGCAATCTACTTCGCATGGAGCCAGCCACGGAGTCACCGCTGCTTTTGCCTGCAAATGAACACAAACAGCTGATTGTCATCGACTTTGAGTACTCTTCTGCCAATACACGTGGACTTGAGTTCGCCAACCACTTTGTAAGGCCACCGCACTAACTCAATCGTCAATCCATTTGCCAAATAGATGCTAACTACAACAGACCGAGTGGTGCTACAACTACCACGACGAAGAGCGCTCATGGGCTTGCAACAACCGCAACTACCCGACATCGGAACAGCAGTACAATTTCGTGTCAACATACCTTACCCACCGACCTTCTAGCGCCGGCGGACCTATTTCACCTCTGTCCTCGCCAACTATTCGCGCTCGCGCCCCTGTTGCGGTTGCACCATTGGACCTGGACGATGTCTCAGAAAGGCCCAGCTCACGGCTTTCGCAAAATGAGCAGTCTAAGGAGGCTGAACTTGACGCAGAGGTGCGACTCCTCATGCAGCAGACCCGGATGTGGCGGGCGATGAACTCCGCGCAGTGGGTAGCTTGGGGTATTGTCCAGGCCAAGGTGCCTGGCATGGAAGAAGGTATTGCTGAGATGCTTGCTGCTCGCAACGGGCCAAGCGAAAACGGCAACGACGATGACACCAAGACGCCGCCTGTCGATGCTGATGTCGGCGAAGAAGATGACGGTGACTTTGACTACCTAGCCTACGCGCAGGACCGAGTCATGTTCTTCTGGGGCGATCTGCTGTCACTGAACTTGATCAAAGCAGAGGAACTGCCTGCGCCTCTATTGGAGCACATCAAGTCGCGACTTGTCACATACTAAGAATCGGAGGAGCATTAATGATGATCTTCAAGATGGAGACTTGTTCATACACATTATCATGATCTACAAATGTGGACGCCAGTACATATATCACTGCGTCAAATCGGTGATTTATCACACCTACATGTATCTATTACACTATAGCGTTGGGGTTTCAACATCGTCATCGAATACCATTTCTTGTCTTATTTCATTTCATTTTGATCATCCTCGTCATCTCAAAAAAGGGTATCTGAAATGCCATCGTAGAAAATCAGAAATAGAAGAGAGAAAAAAATCCGCTGATGCCCAGCTCTCTACCGGCGCATTTCAAGCTTCTTCCTCGTCTCCCTCTTCGCACCCTCAACCCACTCCTCATAAGCCTTCCCCTCAGGATCCTTCTCCTTAACCCCAACAACCCCCTTCATGATCTCCCCAATAAACCCAACGAAATTACACCGTCTAAGCGTATTCTCCCACTGCCACGCAGCCCTCTTCCCTCTCCTCCCTCTCAAGCGTCTCCACATCCCCAATCTCCCTCGCTCTCTCCCTCGGATCCCTCACAACAGCCATGAGATTAAAATGTGTTTCCTCAGGCGGGTACCGCGCAATGCGCCTCTGCAAAACCTCAATAACCTTCTCAGGGAACTCCCCAGTCCCACACTCCCCATGGCTAATAGGATACGGCTGCAGTCCATCAAGCTCATACAGCGTCCCATTGACAGGCGTATAGGCAATGAAGTGGTAAACATCCGCACCCTTCTCATCATCCTGCGGCCGCGCCGTCTCATCCGCGAACGGGCTCGACCGCGCAAAGCTGTTGTGTGCGCTCCGGATCGCTTCCGAGTTCGAGAGCGCTTCGCCGCGAAGCTCCGGCGGGAATCCCGTTGTGAACTCTTTGAAGGAGCGCAGCTCTTCGCCGAGCTCAATTGCTGGCTGGGAGTCCGGAGGGTTGTCGTGGTTGAGGATTACGGAGAGGATGGCTTGTGTACCGCAGGCATTTTGGATTGTTTGCGCGGCGAAGAAGAGGTTGTTGTCGGTGGCGGTTTGGTCGTAGGTTCCGTCAATGGGGGCTTCGGCGCGTGCGCCGGCAGCTTCGCGAGTCCATTTGAAGAGGAAGATTACGCCGTAGACTGGGCTTTTTGGGAGAGTTGGAGTTAGCTTTGGTTGTGGGTATTTTCTTTTTGAGGATTTGGATGTGGTGGAGTTGCGGGTTATGGGGCATCGGGTTGCTTACCCTAGTGACCGTATTGTGTCTGCATCTAGGGAGATGAGCTCTTCGAATTGGGTGTTTTTTACTCCGAGTGTCTCAATCAGAGAGGTGAAGAGACCCTAGCTTGTGTTAGTATGCCGCTGCTTGAATAGATCATGGGAGTGGTGATGGTACCTCATCTGACTCGATGGTGCTCCAGCCACCTACATCAGCCATTTTGACTGTCTGTGATGGATGCTGAGGGCGATTAAATGGAAGATGTTGTGTTGTCGATTGGAGGTTGCTTTCTTCCCCAAACAGGAATACGGTTATGTCATTATCACGTGAAGCTAGAGTGACAGCCTCAAGTCACGTGTGTCTCCACTATAAAGTAGACAAGGTCACATTTATTTTCTAGCAGATTGGGAACAAGATACAAGTCGGACTTATAGAACTGTGGTCGTATTAGAACTTAGGGGATAAGAATGGGGGCTACAATATCTTAAGAGCTCACTTAGAGCAAAGATGTATTCCGCGGAAGGCCAGTATATAACAATATTCATGGATATCAACAAGAATGATTAGTTATACTAGTTCCTCGACTTTTGCACAAAAGTACTACTAAATACCAAGCCAATTGGCATAATATCTTCCAAAGTGGAAATGAAAAAGCAGAACCAGCAGTAAAAACCAGCTCCAGCTCTCCCGGGGTGTTAATGAACAGAAAGGAAACGAAGGTAAACAGCCGGATATCCCCGATCTTCCAACCAAAAATAGTTCAAAATTTGCGTATCATTAGATACATCACTAGATAAAATCAGAATCTTCCGATTCCAACTATATGTACACAGACTAAGTGGTATTGATCATCTGTTAGCGCAAGGACCAAGACGAAGAGTGCTATCGAAGACGCGAATATTCAGTATTCCCACTCGATCTCCACCTCCGATAAAAACACGGAATATTACCCACAAAATAGTGTATGAGAAGCAAGAGCTCTAAGTTCGGGTATGCAATAGCCAGAAGAAAAGAAGATAAATATAGAAAACACGAGGGACCGAGGACGATCGCTAACTCAATTTCCGTAAAGTGAAGATCGAACCCCAATAGTAGTGATAATACGATAGAAAAACAATGATAATATTAACAGCACCCGAGCCAACGAGACCGTTGCATTCACACAAAACCCAAAACTGAATGAACAAAGGTAAAAAAAAAATCCAACCCGTCTACCAAAAATCGATAACCTTCGGCACATAGGGCTGCAGCCCCGTATATTGAGTGTAAGGTATAAGTACTCTAAGATGTGATCGCTGGGATTGGAGATCAATTCTTGCATATGATAGTACTCCGTATCCATGCATCTACAACGTAGTATGACATCGTCTTTTTTGCAGGATACGAATATCTTCAAATCCAAATCGGTGCTAGCTCGGGGGTATGCTACCCCATTGGGATAGATCTTGAGAAGCGGCCGAATACGAGGTCTGGAGAAATGTGACCGGCGGGGTACCAATCAGAGGAATGGATCTGTAGTCTAAATTCCCTTAATATATGTCCCGTGCTTTTGAGTTGGTTCGTTTCGTCTATTCTTAGCACAGGGTCTGTAGCGATGGTTACCGGTGGCTACTTTCGGGGGTTGGGTGGTACCTGTCGATCGATGTGCGTGAGGTGCAAGTGCAGATGCATTTTTCGGTTATGAAAGTTTGGGGAGGGGTTGCTATCTTTAGGTATTGAAATGTTATGGAAGTGAGGTAATGATCTTTCCTTCATTGAAGGTTTTGGAGTCAAAAGGCTGGATGGCTATAGTTCCGAATAACGAATAGGGACATTGCTTAACACACATACAGACACTCCAAGTCAAACTAACAGAAGATTTGATAAAATCGGGGTATATATATCAATATCGTTTGAGACAATTGCCTCCAGTTTGCAACTGCAACCGAGTATAAAAACCAAACCGAGCATTAAATCGGATACAAGATCACACCTCAACGCTCATGATCAGCCCCAAAAAAATAGAAAATAAGGTCAGAATATGTAAAAAAAGAGTCGAGTGGTGAAAACGAAGCACCCGCGTATAATGATGAAAAAAGCACATGTCCTCCGGGTCCAATTCCCAGTAGAACATAACTTGGTAGCCTCCGTATTTTCGGAAAATGAGAGAGGTTATATCCTCATCCTGGTACCCAATAGCCAGAATCCGACTGACCAACCCTGTTCAGGTGGTAGTCCAAATTTTCCCAATATTCCCCATTTTGGTATCTTTTTTTGGGGTATAGATAAATCAATATCATAGACCCAGCACAGTCTGAGAATCAAGTCCAAAGTGAAGCGGGAGCGGCCAAGCCCGGCATTTCAAACGGATGTGTCTGTGGATAGACCTCCATATTGAGACCGAGCGTGCCATCCGCGCGCGGCAAACCGGCGCACAGCGCATCACCATACGGCGGGGTGTAAGCCGCCGAATGAGAAATGGAAGCATGATGCGAATGGGCATGGCCGTGCCCCATATCCGAGAGACCGAGGTGTACGTCGTGATTGTCGAGAAGCTGTGGGGAGGGCGGATATAGAGAATGCGACGATGTGGCGGGTACGTAGCCATCTTGGATGGGGAAGGCAGAGTTGGCAATAGTGACGGCAGGAGGGGAATGCAGGGGCGGGGTATAAGCGGCATAAGAAGGTGATGCGGAGGCGGGCGAGGAAGAGGCGACGAGGGGATACTCGTGTAGATTATGGTGGAAAGGGCTAGGTGGGCCAGGGGAGTATTGGTCGACTGAGGAGCGGGGAGACCAGGGGAGGGGGAGGCGGCTGCGATAGCGGGCAACAATACCGCGGGGCAAGTCCATGAGTTCTAGGGCTAGACGCAGCTCGGTGTTGAAGGGGTCTGCGGCGTTGTGGGTGGCTATTATACGGTACATCTCTTCGATAGGACCGATGAATAAGGCGCCTAGGTATGCGCCGCCTAGCTCTGGGAAGAAGCGGTCGAGAGAGATGCCGACGGCGAAAAATTGGGCTAGGATTGGAAGGGCACTGATGTCTGATTCGCTACTTCGGAGCATGGAGGCTGGGTGCCAGAAGAGCCAGCGCCGGAGGGTTTGGATGCTTTCGAATGACTGTTCGGTTGTTTGGTTGGGGAAGTTATCACGGAATTTCTGTGTGAATTCGATGAGTTCTCCTAGGCGTTGAGAGTGCTCAAGATTGTGGGAAGTGCGTTTCCGTGTCATTCGGAGGGCCTGGATCGTTTGATCTAGATGTACCATGTCTTCGTCGAGGGGTTGGTAGACTCCGGCCATTGAAGCATCTGTTGTGCTCAGTGCTCGTTGGCTTTCTATCAACTGTGCAATGTCTGACTCTTGCTTCCAATATGGATGCATGGATTCTAGGACGCCAGAGATGCCGTGCTGCAAAGATGCCCAACTTTGACTGTTCTGGTGTCAGCTGGGGGATTTCTAGGGAGCTGACCTATCACACTCACTGGTCTGTCGCCTGCCATGATAAAAGAACAGAAGCCGCGAGGATTGCATCGCAGTTCTCCTTTGAGAAGGAGCCCAGAGCGGTCTGCAGTCCGTGGAGAGCCGTGACTCTGTGACGGAAAGCCAGCTGCTTAGTCTCCTGGTCTCGCGTAATAAAAGCAAGGTGAAATGCCGAAAAGCTCAAGATAGAGCTCATGACGAAGTCGCTTCCCAGCGAAATGGCCAGGAAACTATAGAATGTCCGTCAGCAAAGACCTCCGCAGTCAAATCTAGAGAGGACTCACTTGGGCATCTTCTGAGCCCACACAGTGCAACCACTCAGCCCTCGACGATGCAGATCAATCGAAAGCCCGATTATATGGTGAATCAGGCGCAAATCAGTTCGCGACAAGCCAGACCACCCAGATCGTGGGCACTGCAAGAGCTCTGGATACGGAGGCACGCCAGTGCGATGCCAATTATCTATTTCCATTTCGATCTCTGGTGAAATGAGGAGGTCGGGACCGCGTGGCGCGGGGGGACTACCACCTTGAGTGGCAGCCGCATCCTGGTAGTCACAGCGACAGTTGTGCTTGGTGCAATTGCGGCTAGATGGAATTAGTATGGTTATACTATTGTTCAGGTGTGGATTGAAGAACATACCATTGCGGGAAGGTCTCATCACATCGAATGTGTCTTCTCTTGCATGTTTTGCAACCATTACGGGATTTGGTGTGGCTCTTGCGTGGTGGGCCGCCGCCTGGACCGACCATTTTGGCTTTTGAAGACTGCGGAGAGATAACTAGGACTGGAGTCAAGGACTCCACAGGTGAATGTTGTGAAAGAGTTGATGATGGGCGCGTAAGCCCTGTAGTTATAGAGAAATGAGAACGTGACCTAATCCAACAATCTCCAAAAATAACTTTGGGGGCCGTTGAGGTTCGAAGAATAAGTTGAATTAAGCACGTGGAGAATACGAGCCTTGGGGATCTTAAAGTGAAGAGACTAAAAGGAGGTAAAAGAGAAAGTAGAGGAATAAAAAAAGGGAAGATAAAGATACTATTAACAGTTGGAAGTCAGATATGATCTGACTTATTTAAATTTCACTTTTTGTATTCTCACTTTCCGCTATTATTTTCTAGTTCTTTTTTTCATTTCCCAGTGACGATCGAGATTTTGAGCCTCTGGGTACAGGGGGGGGCCGTAAGCTAAAAAGGAAAAGTAAAAGAAAAACAGATAATAAAATAATAAAACGTGTAAAATATGTAAAATATGTAAAAATACCCAAGAAGATGTAAAAATAAGTGAAAATAAGTGAAAATAAGAAAGAAAAATAATAAATAAATAAATCCCAAAAAAGATCGTCTAATATAGCACTCGGTCATTTTAGGACCACATGGGTAGCTTATATAGCTGCCTTCATAGGTTAGCCTGTCCACTAGGCGCATGTGAGCCCATGTTCTCGAGCAGGGATACACTCTATATTGCACGGTTCCATGTAATGATTATTTTCTTTTTCTTGTAGACTGTTGGTAAGAACCATCTAGCCCTAACTTTAGAAGTATTTCTATGGTTCACGGAGTACATCCTATTGCTTATAGGAGATAATTATTAGAAGGCAAATCAAAAGAAAAGGTTCCATGGGCGAAATCAAGTTGATTCATATGTGCGTTCATTTTATTTTTGCTTTTTTTTCTTTCTCTTTTTCTTTTCCCAAATCTCATCCCGCGTTCCAGAGAACATAGTTCTAGCCAAGAGAATGTACATACGCAGGGGCCTATTAGAAGATGACCCCAGACTTCAAAAAGGATAACTAATATAGAACCATAATACAGGAAAACAGAGTAACCGATCGACCATTTTGCCTCGCAAGGCTTTCGATTTAGCGGACCCTGGATTGCGGGTCGCTGTCAAGGGACACCGTTAACCCCGTTGGGAAAGAAGAGGAGTCAATCATTGCGCTATCCTAGACGCGATCTCAGGCGCACTGGGAGTGGCTCTTCCATCCACTCTTCCACTTTCGCTAAGATTCAAGCTTAGCCTGACAGGCGGAAGTCGGCCGTTCCTACCCGCCTGTGAGTCAGATGGGAGATTAAACGCTGAACTCGGTAATCACAACCGAATATAGAACTCCAGAAAAAAAACCCCAGTCAACTGTACGGAATATAAGAGAGAAAAAGAAAAAAAGAATACCAAACTCTTACACCACTTGGAACCTGGGGATTGAAGGCAACGTGTGAATGTTTAGTCCGCAACCAGGGGTGTAAGACCAATCTCTCGGGATCACCGCATCCACAGCTCAAATTCTCTTTTTTTTCTTTTCTTTTTTTGCGCATCCCTTATCCTAACACCCTAGGGTGACTGACCTATTGCGATCGTTGCCCCAGGCCGGGACCACCCTATCTCCTTCTCCGGTGAAGTTACCACTGGGCTGGAACGTACAGCATAAGGAAACCATATCTAGTGAGCCTAAAAGTGTACAATACGACGCCAATAAGCCCAATAGGAACTGAACCCCTGGTGGTATAGTCTCCAGACATACAGGGATCGGAGAGAGCCGTGAGATCGGTTCCAACATATATTATTCAGAGGGATCATCCAAAAAACCAAAACCAAAAAGGAGAGCCCAGTGTACTTCGTGGAATGGGCTCATTCCCCCAGTGTCGGGGGCTGAATCCAGCACATAACGGGAAGTGTTGAAAGGCAAAAAGGGCTCTTCTCTTGGAATAGCATCATGCACTCTAGCCCAACTGGTATGTAATTTTAAAATCCAGTCAGCATCTGAGTATGTATATCTACCTCTGAATCTATAATGTGTTGTAGTGACTCCCCTGAAACTGTGTAATATGCAGATTGATGTGACAGCGTCAGATTGGGCTTGGAGACCACGTTTTCTGGGGATCAGACGTCAAACAAGACATGTGTCTAAAGTCGGTGTGTGCCACCTTCTGATCTGGACGGGAAATTCTGTCCTACCATATTTACGATGAACTGCAGTCCATGACGATGATTACTCTAAAAGGATTATTTAGCTCACACGTGGCACCATAGTCGCACAGAGATTCCGATTATGTCATTCCTACCTAACCTTCCAAGGAAGGTTCCATGTTTGACACGTTTGACACATTTGACAATACGCTGCCTTCCTTTCCAGGCCTTAATGGTTCTTGGCGACCCAAGGGGGCATGCTGTGCGGGTCACCGGAAATGTTCGGGCGGTATTTTCTCCGCAGATGTGAAGGAACACAAAATCAGATGTATCCAATCAACAACGATCAGTCTCGCTTGTCGCGACATCAGGCCTAACATGGTATAGATTGGGGGCCAAAAGTCCCGAGTGGATTGATTTTATTATCAACTTTATTCTTTTTGGTTTTTTTTTTTGGTTTCTTTTTTGGTCTAGCCTTTTTGCGTCAGAAAACCGCCGGAATTGACGGGAAGTGCTTAACATTTCAATATATAGTTTTACTCCTACCTCCGCGGGGTACCCTCTCTTTCCAACCTCAACTTCAAATATATGGCAATACTAATCTTGAAATCCCCCCGTGATCTTGAAACTGTCAGCCATGGTAAGCAGATCGATCCAGTAACCGTGGAATTCAAGTCAACCATTAGAGAAATAAGAATCATGGAGTCCCCAGTTCTCTACCGCTAAGTCAGAAACACAGCCCGTGGGAGTGCAGTACGCTAACCAACTTTATTCTGCCAAGACTTAGGTTATCCTAGACTTGTGTGGGGACTGGATGATTTTCTCTTGTAGATCACCCATGAACTATGCTGTACAATACTGGTCTAATGGTCTATTAGACCAGTAGACCAGTAGACCAGTAGACCAGTAGATCATCTGCAAGAATACACACTCTACATATTTACGTCTTTACACATTGACACATTGGCACATTTACTTTCATGTCTCTATGCACTGCAATCTAAAACATTTTGGATATGTAAATCTCAGCTCCTTAAAGATCAAGTTTTAAAATCTAGATTTAGAACTGGGAAACTCTATTATTTAGGGGAGAAGACATGCCAATGGGAAATAGAAAGATCGACGGCAATCTTGATTCTCCATACTCCATACATACCTAGTAAGTACCTACCATGGACTAGCCCTAGAGGGTATAACCATTCTTCTCAAATAGAGTCTTTAGCGTCAACTCTGTTTCCCAAGCCACCGCCATCGCATCACCTGTGTGATACTTATTGCCCGACTGCTGAAACTAAGGCCCGACACTTGATACGTGTGTGAGGCTGACACTTAGTCTGTGAGATCATTATGACCCTTCCCCTTGGGTAAAGATCACACTATCTTAGACAGACCGCCTAGCAGTCTAGCAAGGAATCTTACATTCCTCCGCATTTCTTACATGGGTGTGCTGTATAGAATCAACTTCTGCTCCAGGTGTCATAATTAGAACACTATGATGGCAGAGCCACCCGCCTCCGCGCTTCCAAATGGCCACAGTAGACATCTACAACATATCGATGTCATTAGAAGCAATAAATATATATTAGACACTCTTGCACATCAGATCCATTTACATTTCTTATTGGTTGATTTATTATACCTCACACGGGCTTGAATAGGTGCCCGTGATCTACGCCAAGATGGGTTTCCACAGATCATCCAAGGGCATCGATCTCAAGGATAAGCATATCATTACTGCGTACTGCCAGCGACCCTCCGGGCAATCTAGATATTCAGAGCTAGATCTGAATGAGCTCCTCGGGGCAAACAAGGGTAAAATCCATACAAACTTTCTGTTCTATTCTCCGTAGTGTTCCCACGATTGCTGGCGTACTTCCAGCACCGCCGAGAGCAGACCGATTTTCTGTCCTTCCATATCTGACCTGAATCTACCTAGGTAACATTATCATGCTAATCTAGGACAATTGGCCTGGGGTTCCCACGACTTCTCGAAAAGTTTACGCGATGTTAGCTTGAAGCTAGAAGGCCCCAATAGCGAGCCCATGCTGCACGCACAACTCGATGACAGCGAAGGAAACATCCAAGACAGCCAGGTGAACCTGGAAGATTGCATTAAAAAAACGAGGATGGTCATCTGAGTTTCATGGAATGTTTCTAGTGGAGGATCAGGGTTTCTGTGGTTTATGTTTTACGTCTCTGAAATTGAGACTTAGAGAACGAAATAAAACGATTGGTTTTGACTGTTAGATTTTATAATTTTCGGAAAATATACAATGCAGGTAGGTCTCAGGTCTGAGGTCAGATGGCAGAGTATAATCAGACGTGGACAGTATAACACCACAGAGAATATTACGACTGCGGCTGAAAGTAACCCCAGACAAAGTTCACCGCTAGAGCAAATACCCTGAGAGCAAGCACTATATGTAAAACCCGAAACAAAAGCCCAGTTTAGGCCAAAGCAACAATCCCCCTGAAACCTGGAATTCTCACCGGAAGAGCAGTATGTAAGTCTTCAAATTCACCGGGACACAAGTCCACAATAGCCCCCAGTCATCCTATCTCTGCAGGCCGCAAAAGGCATAGCCCAGGTCCTCTTGAGCGAAAAGCGACCATAATCCGACACACGGCTTAGGGGCTCCAATAACGGCGCAATACTCAGGACTTGGAACCAGGCGCCCGGTACGCTACCTGTAGGTACATATTGCACCCTGCATCAACGCCTGTCATCGACACATGGCATTTTAATCACAGGGTGAGATAAGGTGGGGTCGATAGGATACACGGTGCGCCCGGGTTCGTGAAAAATAGTAGTTAGGGGAAAGGCTCGCGTCTTGGTATTTCGGGCGGTTTTTTGTCTGAGCGGCCAATCGGTGGGGGGAGGAAGGCGTTGGTTAGAACTTAGGGGCTTTCGGTGCCGACGAGTTAATTAGAACGCGCCAGTTAGGCGAGAATCGGGACTTTGCTTGGGTTTTATATTACTGGATCTCTTTCTATTTCTCTTTGCTGATAACCCGGTTATTTTACCTTACTATGAAGGATGGTGGGCTTGTGTTGAGAGATTAAGGCTTGAATGGGTTATGGCGGTTAGCAGGGGTTCGGTGATTTATGTGATATGTATGCATTTGCTGCTAGGTTATTAATGGCAGGTGACTACGGGATACTTGTCATGCATGCTGTCGGCTTCCCAAAAATAAATCTGTAGCTGTTAGGAGATTGCTAGGGCCTTGCTGATCTTAATCTTGCCTTACTTTTCCCCCGTCCACTACTGGTCCAGGATTTAGCAAGTCGATATTGGCATGTGTTATTGATTTCCTTGTGGGCAACATGCGCTGGCACTGGCACTGGCACGCGATCTACTAGAAATAGATAAGGTTGCTAAAGTAGAAGATTCTAGGTAACTGGTGGTATTTAGTTGGAGCATTGTTTGGTCTATATTAAGCCAACGGATATGGCGAATAAAGGGATTAAGGAAACGAGCTACTATCAAGGACAACCTTGGCAATCCCCAGTGATACCTCTTAGCAATTGTTACAATCTTACCAACTAAAAGATGTATGTTGTAGTCAGTGGGAATCTTTTTCGTACTATATATATATATACACCCTAAATACGGTGGAAGGAGACACCTAAGAGGGCACCAAAAAGAACGCTTCAACAACAAAAAGGACATGCCAAAACTCTATAGTTTAGGCTTTCAGAAACGTTGCTTGAGATCTTCATTGGAAACGAAGATCTATCTATCGAAACTATCTATCTAAAGGGGATATGGATATGCCCATGCAAAAAACCCCCAAAACCAGCGCTGAGAAGCAAAAAAAAAAAAAAAAAAAAAAAAAGCGCAACCTATGAGCCAACCTTGACTTGATGATGACTATGCACAATGAATGCAAAATAAGAATCAAGAAGAAAAGCAAAGTCAACGAGATAGAAATCATAAAGGGTCATGCGTGCCCATGTTGCAATCATGAGATGTAACGTAAAAAAACAGCTAAATCGCAGATGCTCCTTCCCATGATTTTGCCCCTTCCTTTCTCCCTCCTCTTTCTATTAACGTGAAATTCCGGCCGCTGACCCCCTATGTACTGATCCCCCCCAGGATCCCCCTCGCTTCTCTCCCCTCCAACCTAACTCCCGCCCGATTTGAGACAGGAATGAACATCAACCGACACCCCGGTAACTAAGGTCTAAGCAGAGACCAATAAGGTTCCCTATTTAGACCTGGTACACGGTGCGTAGTGTCTGGGCCACGGCCGGGGGTAGCTGGCCAAGGAAGTTGCTGAAGTCAGGGATCAAGGCCTTATATCCCTGGAGGACCTATATTTATAATGTTGATTAGTGGGATGTTACTAAGAACAAAAGGAAGATGATCTTACCTGCTGGAAGGAGACCTGGATATCCCGGTACTCTTCTTGTGCCAGAGAGCGGGCGGGGAACGAGGCAATTGCCTGGAAGTAGTCGAGCAGGCTCGACTCCATGGCCTGTGGGTTCTTCATCACCACCTGGTTGAACCCGAGGAAGGCGGAGGCCTTTTCACGCGTGAAATCAATCTTGTCCATTGACTTCAAGAAAGGTCCGGAACACTCGCTCAAATGGGGCGCAATCTGGTCCGCACAGCAGAATCCCAGTCGCCCCAACGCCATAGCGGCGTTTTCATTCACCGAATCGATGATTTCCTCGTTAATGATAATCGTAAAGAGCCCTTGGTACAGCTGCTCCGCATAGGGCGATAGTGGGGCATCCTTGTGGACGGCGATCTCGCCGCACGACCAGCAGGCGTTGTTCAAAACACTGAAGCCCGTATGACGATCGTCATCGCGAATCAGGTCCAAGTCAAGCTGCTTAATCAAAACTGGAGCAAGGCTGGGAATGAAGGGTTCCAAATGAGGGAAGATGCTGATGGCGCAGTCTCCCAGCAAAGCGTATGTTGATTGGCGGACTTCATAGTTTTCATCATTCATACAGTAGCGGAGGAGCTCGAAGAAAGACGGCTGTGAAGTACTCACAAGCTCGCCGCTCTTTTGTGGGTCGATAGCCTGAATGATTGCGCTAAGAAGGTCGATGCTAGTAACAAGGAAGTCCTTGTCTGGCTCATCAGCCGCGGGGTGTGTCGGTTGGATAGAAGCTTGCAAGTTTCCATAGATGATCTTCATGCAGCGACCGAAGAGAGGCGGCGCGAATTGGGCAAAGGCATCGCCATAGGCTGCAGAGATGTAGCCGAGGCACTCAAGCAACGGGAAGAGCTCTCGGGAATCGTCAGAAATGTAGTTATAGCGACCGATGAGGGCAGGCATCAAGATCTCGATTAGATGCGGCCTCGCCAGCTCGCTCATAACACATTCGGCGAGCGTTTGCACACAATCATAAAGAATGTACATGTTTCGGTCCTTGTACTTATTGAAGCACGCCACAAACTGGCGCAAGATAGGCTCACAGTAGGGTGCCAGGTTATCCTCCGACTTCTCCTCTAGGCTAGCGAACGCTGACGCGGCAGCTTCTTGAACCTTCTTGTTGTTGTCCAACATGCGATGAAGAATACCTTCCATCATGGGCTCAAAGAATTGAGCTTTCTGGGCTGGGTCGCGGAGATGGGCTGCCCAACCAGAATAACGGGCCAAGCACCAGCAAGTGATTTGTCGCACAACAGGCTGATCGTCATTGAGGAGTGAGATGAGGTAAGGGACCAATTCTGGGAGATGGGGAGTGATAGCATCCATACAGCCATCCGCCACTGCACCTAGTGTAAGAACAGCGGCCTCTCGGTTTGGCCACTGCTCATGGCGCAGAGTTTCCGTCAGATATGGGAGAAGGATTTCAAAGACGGGACCGTGGTAAACGGTAGAGAACACATCGAGCGCAGCAGCAGAGCACTTGCGCAAAGTCCAGTTGCCCGAGGGGTCATCTCCGAATTCTGAGTCCTCAATTTCACCCTCGCTTAAGTCATCCTCACCTTCCTCTATTTGTTGCTCGAGGGCGCGGGCGGATTCCGGTTGTTCGCCTGGCTTGGACATATTCAGACGATCACCCTTTGATTTGGCAAACTGTGGCTTTAAATCCTCGGCACGGTCCTCGGCGTCGGCATCATCTTGCTCGTCCATCAATCGAGCCACTTCATCCTCGTCATAGATCATGTTCTGCAAAAGAACCGGGATGATCTTGTGCATGTATGGAGCCAATTCGGCCTGCAATCGCTCTTGCTCTCCAGCACCAATCCAAAACTCGGCGGCGTCAAGTGCAAGCTCTGGGTCATCCTGAGATTGCTGCTGCATGATGATGTAGTTGACCAAGCCTTCCATATGCGGGGCCAACTTTTCCGGCGCAGTCTCCACGAGTTGGGAGAACGACTGGCACACCATTTGTCGGACTCTGGTGTTTTCGTCACCAGCAATTCTGAACAACTGAGAAAGAAATTGGTCGAGCGAGTCTATCAATGCCTGGGGTCTGAATGGCAAGAAAACGTGGATGGCGTTGAGAGAAGCGATCCGAATGCGTGAACTCTCGACCGAAATGAATTGCAGCAAGCTGGGGATGATGATATTCAGGGGACGTTGGCCCTGATAGTCGCGGTCCAGGACCTTGCGGTTGTCCTCACAGACCTTGTACAACGTATCCATTGCAGCTTCCCTAGCTGACATGGGGACATCCCCGTTGGTGTTGGCCACAGTAGTCAACAACTCATTGACAATCTCAGGCCAGGCCAAGAGGCCTCCGTGAAGCACCATTGCGGTGATAACGTTACCGGCAGCTCTCGAGACATTGCGGTCGGCGTCGCGTAGTGTAACTAGAGCCGCGGATTTGATGAAAGCCAAACTTTGAGGGGAGATCGTGCTGTAAGCAATAGCAATCTTCGTCTTCACGTTTACGGCGGCGGCAAATCGAACAGTAGGGTATTCATTCTCGTTAATTCCTGTCAGGGAAGCAGCCTGCGGGCTGGAAAAGATGTAGGTGATGTAATTGACGTAATCAGGGGAAGAGGTCGCTTGTGCAAGCATCTATTAAGAACAATTGAAGGTAAGTTTCCATTTTGGGGTAATGTATGTGCGGCAACCGCATTCGAGAGGAAGCTCAATAAGATAGGACCGAAAAAAAAAAGGGAACGACATTACCTGTTCAGCCTCTGCTCGAGCTGGAAGGTTAGTTC